CTCTTCTGCAACACAAAAGTTAGACCACTTGGCTGCGAGTGTAAAACTGAAGCTGACATTGAACAACCAACTTGTAACAAACAAGCTCTACACGAAATATGGAGTTGACAAAGTTGAGTCAAACATTCTTGAGAGTACGCAATTTCGAAATTGGTACCGCTCCGTCAATAAAGAGTACAAAACGAACGTCCTGGAGGGTCAAATGGCTATGGTGACAACACTGACGGAACGTCATGGCATCGAGGGTCTGGCAAAACTACTTTATGAAGCGAGAGGATCTGCTATTGTGGAACAGCTGAAAGATGCCCAGCTTCGGACATGGTCCGATGCCGGAAAAGACACGAGATACGTTTTCAGGCTGATACATCTCAACGAGGCCGGAGAAACCTTGTTTAACAGCCCGTTGTTAAATTCATGGGAAAGATATTCGGTAAAATTTACAAAATACTTAAGTATCCTGAAGAGGTCATGCTTTCGACATTGCAGATGCAAATTGGCGAAGAACTGTTGGCAAAAATGATTGTTGCTGCAAAACCATATAACAATGTTGCGACGAAGCTTGAAAATGTTGAACTCAAGAATTGGTTATCGAGAGGTAAAACCAGCGATGCAGTGTTCGATCTCCTCTCTCTGAATAAAGAGACTGGCAATATTACGAAGAATCCCGCATTCAGCACTTGGGTCGCCTTTGAAGCAAAGAAGAGCGGAGATGATTCGTACAGTTATGTCGTGCTTAAGTTATTGTTCAGCTACAACGACGAAAGGTTGGCTACATTTATAGGTGCGGATTATACGGGTACAACGGATACAGTTGCACGGAAACTAGTGCCGGCAGTACTGAATCACTGGAAACTATACGCAAAGAGCCCAGACGATATTTTTAAACTGTTCTTGATGGATAAAGAAAAAGCCGAAAATGTTTTGGACAGTGCTGCGTTGCGTCACTGGGTATCGTACGTGAAACTGCTGGACGAGGACCCTGATGAGCTGTTGCTGAGAGAGCTGAACTTATACTTTAGCTAGGTATATAGGAAAGAGGTAGATCACGTAACCACCAATCTGAACTACACAAAGATGATAAATTCAGATTACCTTGTTCGCGTCGGCTCGAGATGTGTTCCTAACCCAGTCACAAGCATTACTACGGACACAATGATATTACAGACTTCCATACACGAAGCTCTATTGTTGTTTGCATTGATCCACCCTAAAATAATTGGACATACCTAGGCGTCCAATTCATTAAACACACTTATCAATCAATGCAGATGCAAGTGTTGTTTTGACCTACGTATCTGGGGTGTAGTATTAGTGATCCGGGGCAGGTATTCGCGTTAAATGTTTATCAGTTACCAATGGAATTGGCAACCGGACCTCTCTAAATGCGAGCGACTACTGACTACGGTGGACAACGGTGTTAGCCGGTGTTGCTGGCACAGGATGGAACTTGGAGACAACCATTTTCGTCAGCAAATAGCGCTTGCTGCCTAAATGAGATTGGTCGTGGATTAAATAAAATGATAGAACCGAGAACCAGGCGGGAAGTCATGGAGACACCGTTGAAAATGAGATCGCTCTCTGCAATAGAAGAACGCAGTAGTGCACGAAAGTGACTGCTTGAAGCAAATTTGATAGATTGCCTTCTGCACGTTCCAGAGAGCGCCGATTTCTGATCCGGTAGTAGGTATGTACATACATAACTTATCTGCATAATCACCAAAACACACATAATCTGGTAATGCACTATTTTAGTGATGATGTGGGTAGCGCGACGAACATAATCAACAGTGTAATTCAAGTTCTATTGACGATGAGGATATAATAGTAGTCGAAATGTCCACAGTTTGTGACTTGTGGGTATGTTACGCACTAAATCAACTATTTCACTTATTAATATAATCATCAACAAGATTCAATTATGATCGTCTATGTCTTAGACGTGTCTGGTGTTGGATCCAAAGCTTATGTTTTGTGAGAGCACGAGCTCGCATCACCAAGCAAGAAGTAGCCAAAGACGCACCCTTTAAACCGGCTCCATTTAGACGCGTTCACTCTACGTGCTTGACAATGTAAACAATTGAGTGACTACTGGTCCACTCAAGCCACTTTGTATATTTCTTGCTCATTCCGTAATTCATCGACAACATCCAATCTGCCTTTTCGTCACGATGGTCCCAAAGTCTAAAAAATCTATATCGTCTAACGATGTGATGCTATTGATTGGCGTAATTCTGTTCGTTTGTATCGATGTGACTTCATCAACAATGAGCTCGAAGCAACTTACTACCGGTACTACGTCTTCCATTTCTTACGGCAAAGGTACGAATGATGACCAAGCTATCCAACGATTGAGATCAAGTGGCACCTCTATTGCTGAACCTCACTATACTGCGGAGGACAGGGCGTTTTTAGGTGCAGCAAAGGTGAACCAGTTATCTCAAAGAGGGATCAAAAGTCTCCAGAATGTTGCTAAGAACACGTTTCCATTCTATAAGCAGTACACCGTTGACAAACTCTTTAAACGGTTAGGCCTGAAGCGGTTTGACGCAAACCCCGCCATTTTCTCCAGTAAACAATTCGAACAGTGGAAAACCAGGGTATCTAAAGACTACAAGTTCGATACTAAAGGAGACATCGCGATGGTTTCGACTTTGACACGACAGTTCGGAGATGATGGTTTGGCAAATATGTTAGTTGCTGCTATGCATGTTGCAGAAACACGACCAACCGCAATGCATTTTGAAAACGCGCAGCAACGGTATTGGAAGAGCAACCGCAAAAATTCGGTCGATGTTTTCAAGCTTCTAAAGCTTGATAGACAAGGTACTAACGTGCTGAATAACCCACTTTTGGAAACTTGGCGTTCGTACATGAAGTGTATAGGCAAGCGCGCAAGCAATGAATTATTTCTCCAACTGAAGACAAGTTACGGAGATGCAGAACTAGCAAAGATGATTGTTTTGGCAAAGAGTGATGTTACATCAAATCGAATTGCTACGGATTTGGAGCAGTTACAATTTTGGGGGTGGAAGGTGAGCAGCCAATCCAAAGCTGGAGACGTGTTTAAGATCCTGAAATTAAACGAAGATGGAATGGATCTTCTCAAAAACCAAGTGTTGAGTACTTGGGTTTCCTATGTGAAAACGATGAAAAGGAATCCATACAAACTGCTCTTGTTGAAATTTAAGAACAATGGGTACGATGAAGCACAAATAGCAAGAATGATTGGGGTGACGAAGAAAGATGAAATATCGAATGATATTGCCTCAGAACTGGAGGAAATTCAACTGAAACGTTGGTCGAAAGAAAGAAAAACTGTTGAAGATGTCTTTGTACTTCTTCGACTTAAGGAGGATGGAGACAAAATATTTGAGAGCCCGGCATGGAGTGTTTGGGTCGACTATCTGGCCAAAAAGGTTTCGTCGAATGAAGATGATGCTATATTGTCAGTATTGAGAAACCAATTCGGTGTTGAGACTCTGATGGACATGGTCGCTAAAGCAAAAACTGTCCGGAGTACTGAAGAAATCGCGACACGAATGCAGTTGAGTATTTGGTATTGGCACACCTTGGGTTCGGACGATGTTTTTAAACTTCTCAAATTGGACGAGGTGGGAAATAACATCTTTGACACTCCAGCATTAATAACTTGGACCGAGTATGTGGATAAGCTAAACAGCTTTAGGAAATATCCAGACGCATTCGTGATTGTAAACAAATTACAGAAATATTACGGTAATTATGTTCTGGCACGAATGCTAGCGATATCAAAAAGATGAACACAATCCGAACCCATGGAACAACTTGTTGCAAATTTGCAAGCGTCGCAATTCAACAAATGGATGCTTCAGGGGAGCGACCCCAAGAAAATCCATGCAATATTGACAAACAGCCGAACACCTGCAGAACAGAACGCAAAAGTGGTAGCCGACTACTTGATATTCTACAAGAAGAACATCAAGATTTTGAGAAATGACATGCACTTCAAATCATCCTCATAAGAGCGTAACATATTACAAATACAGGATGAGGCTTCAGTGTCCAGTATAGTTTGATATTTTATGCAAAATAAAGTATCAAACTTTATTGAAACTAGAGGGACATAGGTCTGGCAGTGACCCAGATGCAATAAAGTCGTAGCTAATACAGCAGAACATGGGAAATATCATACTTAGTACTGCGTAGTAGTAGGATCGTTTTCTTTTTGCATGTGCCTTCGCTTCTGAAACAAACAACTCTGTCCTCACGATTGTAGGAATAGACCAAACTACCAACTCCTCCAGACTGAAGGCCACCTTTGAACAACTTTATTCGAATAAGAACGAGGTGGAGCTCTCGAGAAATTGTTTTAGAAATGTGCGTTATTTTCCGATCGGAGGTAGTAATAAATGTTGAACTCATAATTGTATTGATCAGTGCACCAAACGTTATTTTTCCGATCCCTGCTTTGTAGACTATATCGCTCAGAGAATGCGGTCAAGTGTTGAACATGTTCATGTGTCGTGTGTATCAACTTTTCACGTTAGAGTATTGATGGAGATAGGGTTTTAAATCATACAGAAATTCTCTGAAATTTATTTCAGAGTTAAGGCGCGGTCCCAGCGGAGGTCCCATTTTGCAAAATAACATATCTCTGTTAATGCAGATCGATCATAAATAAGAGGGGGTATCATGTTGTAGATGTTGAGCTTTCGTAGGAGAGGGCAAATGCCGAAGTGAGATTAAGTCTTTAGCTATCTCTACCTACTTGTCCTCCTCTCCGACTCTATTTATTGTGCTCCTAGTTGCCACTCATCAGACTGTTTACCACCATTGCCCACTAAACTTGGTTTCACTACCAACCGAGAACTGGGTCAGCCATATCCTGATTAGGAACGTGCCCCACGTGCTGCCACCGTCCGCCATCGGATCCACCAGATTCAACATCGTGTGAGTCCGTGACGACGACTCGTCAGTTGGCGTGTACTGGCAGCGCACAATGCCAACACTCCCACTCGCTGCTAGTGCTGCGCATCCTTGGCGAAGATTCCGCTTGCATTCATCAGACACTGGAGACGCTTTGTCCCGAGTCCCATGGTCAGCATGTCTGCAAACGGATCCTTCGTTGGGATGTAGTTCACCTCAATGCCATCTCGAGCCTCGTTCTCTCGAACGAAATCATGCTTGATGTCGACGTGCTTGGTCCTAGCGTTGTAGCCCGCATTGCTCGCCAGCGCTATCGCACCTTGGTTGTCTTCCTACACCTGTGTAGCTCCCACTTGCTCGTGACCCGTGTCCTTCAGCATGGCACGTGTCCATAGCCCCTCCTGAGTGCATAAGGCCAGCGCCATGTATTCAGCTTCCGCCGAGCTGAGCACCAAATTTCGACTTGAATATAATTGGTGCCCTGCTGATCATAATCATCGATTGCTGCCCCAGTCCACGTCAGTGTACGCGGACAACTCGACGTTCCCCTTTATGCCATTGTATCCAATCCCGAGTTCTCGGGTGCTCTTCAGATACCTCAGCACTCGAATCGCAGCCTTCCAATGTTGCTGCCTCGGGTTCTCTAGGAATCGCGATAACTGAGTCACGATGTATACATGTACCACATCTTGTCGGGTGCACGTCGTTATATACAGCAAACATCCAACGAGAGCTCGGCACGGTTTTCCTTCCATCAACAAGCCCTCCGCTTCAGTCTTTGGTGATTGAGTCTTCGTCAGCTTCAATCCCGCCTCACATGGGTTCGCCACCATATTGGCGTCTTGTTGATTGAAGCGGTTACCACGTCATCAATATAGCGCGTCTGTATAATCGTGAGCGTCTTCGCAGAGTAGTCGTGGTCGATCTCTATCCTGAGTATAAACTTGGCGCCAGTTCTTTCATTTTGAACGCCTTCTTGAGTGCTGTCATGACTTCCTGGATTTCATCTCCAGTCTTACCGCGATGATCATGTCATCCACGTACAGGCAGACATACACATGCATGCCTTTCTTCATCTTCACGTAGACGCACGCATTCGCATCGCAGCTCCGAAACCCAATCCGGACAAATAATCGGTGGATCGTCTTGTGTCAAGCACTCGCTACCTGTTTCAAACCATATATCGCTTTATCCAGTCTGTACACCATATTCTTGGTGTTGTTGATGCCGTATAGAACCTCCATGTACACGCGCTCCTTGAGATCGCTGTTCAAGAAAGCTGTATCCGCATCCAACCGTTCGGTCACATACTCCAACGCCACCACTACCGACAATACAACTCGGATTGAGTTCATGTTGGCAACCGGCGAGTAAGTTTCAAAGAAGTCCACTCCAAAATTTGGTTGAACCCTTTCGCAACCAAGCGAGCCTTGTACCTGACAACTCGGTTACATTCATCTCGTTTCTTGGTGAATACCCAACGACATCCGATTGGACGAGTACTTGTTGTGCGACGAACTAGCGTCCATGACCCTTTGTCTGAGTGATCCTTAAGCTCTGCATCCGTGGCGTTTACCCACTGTGAGGACTCGTTGCTCTGCATTGCCTGTTGATATGTCGTTGGTGCGTCATCAGCGTCACCGACGTCAGCAGCATATGCCAGCACAGCTTCAGCGAGTAAGCTATCCTCATCAAACTTCGGTCGCTTAGGTGATGGTGGCCAGATGTGGTCATCATTGTCCGGGTCATCGTTATTTGCTGCCGAAGACTCATCACCGTGTCCCGATCCGTCCTTGAGAAGAAGAAGTGGTTCATGTACTCGTCGGGTATGTACTGGTTCCGGGTGGAATACCATATTCTCATCCATCGTCGGTCTCGCAACGCTTCGGTATGGCGTTAGCTCCTGTCCGGGCGATGACTCGGATTCCACTTGCATCTCGACATCTTCAACGGGTTCCTCCTTCACTGACTCCATTGACTCATTGGCCGCGGGTTGTTCCGTCCGCTCTGGCAGTACCGAACCTTTGCCGTTTTTCGTCACATAGATGATTGTCGAGTCTTCGGTAGTCATCGTATCGTATATCCCGTTGACTTCACGCACATCCAGCTTCACCGAGACTTCCTTGTGGATACTAGTGGTAAAGCGAAATGAAAAAAGGCCATGTTGATGGACACAAAGCACGATTGGCGATCAAAGGGTATCGACAAAAGTATGGATTAGATTACCCTGAAACGTACTCTCCGGTCGTCCGTATTGAGGCTGTTTGTCTGGTAAGTTTCCATTATGTTCCACTTCATTGATCGTACTTTGATTGTCACAGTGTAAGGTTGCCTCTTTTCGTTGCTGGATCCCCAGATCTCGCAACATCTTTTGTGCCCACTTGATCTCCGTCGTGCATTTGTGAGCAGCAATTAACTCAGAAGCACAAGTATCATCTACAACGGTACTTTGCTTCTTACTCTGCCAGGTCCACACTTTTCCATTTAACCCAGCCAGTCACAGACTTGCTCGTTTAAAGGTATCCAGCGTGGTCAGCGTCTGCTAACGCATCTAGTAACATGCCACTTTGATCCGCATCATCAAAGCGATACGCTAACCCAAAGTGTTTTGTACCACCAAGGTATCGCATGAGACGTTGTGCTTGTCTGAAGTTGGCTTTTGTAAACACGCTTCCATACCGACCAAGTGTCCGTACTGCGTTAGCCGAGTCAGGGCGGCTACAATGAACTAAATACTGCAACGATCCCACCATTTCTCGAAAAGGAAGAGCTGAATAATTAATCAGCTTGGGGTTCTTCTCAATCGGAAGTGTAGGTTCATTATGAAACTGTCGAGACCACACAGTTTTCGCTGAAGCTAGACCAAACTTTTCCAACATACGTTCGATGTATGCACTTTGAGAAATGCACATAATCTTGTGGCGAAGCGGAATCCGTGAAAATCTTGTGATCGCGGTTCC